GATCTCGGCTCACTGCAACCTCCACCTCCTAGGTTCAAGAGATTCTCCTGCCTCAGTCTCCTGAGTAGGTGGGATTATAGGCACACGCCATCACACCCAGCTAATTTTTGTATTTTTAGTAGAGACAGTGTTTCACCATGTTAGCCAGGTTGGTCTCCAACTCCTGACCTGAGTCAGCCTCCCAAAGTGCTGGGATTATAGGCATGAGCTACTGCGCCTGGCCTCTCTTTCTTTAAGAGACAGGGTCTCACTCCTTTGCCCAGGCTGGAGTGCACTGGCGCTACCATAGCTCATTGCAGCTTTGAACTCCCGGGCTCAAGCCATCTTCCTGCCTCAGCCTCCTGAGTAGCTGGGACTACAGATGCATGCCACCGCATCTGGCTAACATTTTTATTTTTTGTAGAACCAGGGTCTCGGTATGTTGCCCAGGCTGATTTCAAACTCCTGGTCTCAAGCAATTCTCTCACCTTGGCCTCCCCAAGTGTTGGGATTACAGGTGTAAGCCACCATGCTAGGCCCCAATATTTATTTTTGAGATGGAGTGTCGCTCTGTTGCCCACACTGGAGTCCAATGGCACGATCTCAGCTCACTGCAACCTCCACCTTCCAGGTTCAAGCCATTCTCCTGCCTCAGCCTCCCAAGTAGCTGGGATTACAGGCACCTGCCACTACGCTGGCCTATTTTTGTATTTTTAGTAGAGATGAGATTTCATGTTGTTGACCAGGCTAGTCTCAAACTCCTGACCTCAAGCGATCTGCCTGCCTCGGCCTCCCAAAGTGCTGTGATTACAGGTGTGAGTCACCATGCAAGGCCATGTCCCGATATTTTTGATATGCCTTCTATTGCATTCTACAAGTGGCCCTAGGCCAGGGGCAGTGGCTCATGCCAGTAATCCCAAAACTTTGGGAAGCTGAGGCAGGAGGATCGCTTGAGGCCAGGAGCTCAGACCTCTACAAAAATTTATTTAATTTAATTTTTTTTTTGAGACGGGGTCTCACTCTGTTGCCCAGGCTGAAGTGCAGTGGTTTGATCACGGCTCACTGCAGCCTCAACCTCCCAGGCTCAAGCAATCCTCCTGCCTCAGCCTCCCAAGTAGCTGAGACTAGAGACTATAGGTGTGCACCACCACACCCAAATAATTTTTAAATTTTCTTGTAGAGACAAGGTTTCACCATGTTGCCAAGGCTGGTCTCAAACTCCTAGGCTCAAGGGATCTGCCCTCCTCGGCCTCCCAAAGTGCTGGGACTACAGGCATGAACTACCGTGCCCAACCTCTACAATTTTTTTTTTTTTGAGACAGAGTTTTCCTCTGTTGCTCAGGCTGGAGTGCAATGGTGCGATCTTGGCAAACTGCAACCTCTGCCTCTCCAGCTCAAGCAATTCTCATGCCTCAGCCTCCTGAGTAGCTGGGATTACAGGTATGTACCACTATGCCCAAAAATACAAATTTTTGTATTTTTAGTAGAGATGGGGTTTCACCATGTTGGCCAGGCTGGTCTCGAACTCCTGGCCTCAAGTGATCTCCCCGCCTCGGCCTCCCAAAGTGCTGGGATTAAAGGTGTGAGCCACCATGCCCCGCCCCACCAATTTTTTTTTTTAATTAGTTGGGCATAGTGGTGCGCACCTATGGTCTCGGCTACTTGGGAGACTGAGGCGGGAGGATTGCTTAAGCCAAGAAGGTCGAGGTTGGAGTCAGCTTCATGCCACTGCAGTCCAGCCTGGGTGAGACTGAGACGCTGTCTCAAAAACAACAACAAAAGAGTGGAGTGGCTCTATTTTCTTTATGGAAGACCGGAACAGTAAAAGAGGAACTGGCAATTCAGCAGTGAATTCTATACTGAGGTAATGGGTCTTAAAAAACCAAAATAGCGAGAGTGCTTCTAGGGTTAAATTTTCCTAAGAGCAAACATGAGACAAACAAGGTGTCCGTCCTTACTGGCCAAGAGTTATCATACTAGAATGCTTTCAGTTCGGTATTCCCATCCACCTGTACTCCCCTGACACTGGAGCACCATAGAAACACTCAGATAGAATTCCCACAGGTAAAGGATCCCTTCCAGCAGCTCTGCCAGGGTATATATGTCTTCAGCCATCTGAGGGAACACTTTGGAATCTGAAGAGATATGTAAATTTATATAAAATGGGTGTTTATAAGCAACAAGCTATTTCCTCTTACCACTAACATGGGGAAATTTCCATACTGGCACATATTTATATGAAAAGCAAAGATCTTTTTCTATGAAAATCACCTTTTAAAAAAAATTTTTGTCCTGACTTGTGTATATTCCTTTGGAGTCATTACATTGCCTTCCTCCTTTTTTTTTTGGCCCTCCTATACAGAGACTATGGAAGAGAGTACCTGGATCTAGTTTATTCCAAAGAGAGACAAGCAGTTGCTGCCTCCACTCCAGATTCCAGGATGACTAAACACAATGATTACACTTAACAGAACAAGGCCGGGTGCAGTGGCTCACGCTTGTAATCCCAGCACCTTGGGAGGCCGAGGTGAGCGGATCGTGAGGTCAGGAGATCGAGACCATCCTGGCCTATACCGTGAAACCCCGTCTCTACTAAAAATACAAAAAATTAGCCAGGCGTGGTGGCGGATGCCTGTAGTCTCAGCTACTCGGGAGGCTCAGGCAGGAGAATGGCGTGAACCCCGGAGGCGGAGCTTGCAGTGAGCCGAGATCGCACCACTGCACTCCAGCCTGGTCGACAGAGCGAGACTCGGCCTCAAGGGCCAAGGAAAGCCATTTAGATCTTTGGGTTTCATTTGCTTCACTTAAGCATCTTTTATTTTTGCACTTGAACGTCTGGCAGAGCATTTTGATGATGACACACAAATACTACGAATAAATGGACGAGTGACTAGCTAAATAGAACACAATATTTTGAAAGATTTGAGTCAAAAATAGTAGGCAAATCGAAGAAGCAATCCCAAATAGATGCTATCTTTCAGAAATTAACAGATTGTTTCACCTGCAGCATAGTCCCATCCCAGAAAGGGCATTCCTGCATTACAATCATTTATGCTTGGATAAAGGCAAAACGAACAGCTGTCCAAGAAACACCCTCATTACCTGAGGCCTATGGCAAAAACACGTCTCCTTTCTTGGAGTCTAAGTAGACTTGATCAAAATCACCCACAGCTATAAATTCACATTATAATATCACACACCAAAGCCTCAGTGAATATCTTGGACAAACAGATATGATCCATTCACTTAAAGGTGAAATCACATGGTTGAACAAAGTATATTGCAATTCTGCTAAACTCATTTAGAAGCTGGCTCAAGGCCGGGTGCGGTGGCTCACGCCTGTAATCCCAGCACTTTGGGAGGCAGAGGCGGGCGGATCACTTGAGGTCAGGAGTTAGAGACCAGCCTGGCCAACATGGCGAAACCCCTTCTCTACTAAAAATACAAAAATTAGCAGGGCGTGGTGGTGCGCGCCTGTAATCCCAGCTACTCGGGAGGCTGAGGAAGGAGAATCGCTTGAACTGGGGAGGCGGAGGTTGCGTTGAGCCGAGATCGTGCCATTGTACTCCAGCCTGGGCAACAAGAACGAAACTCCGTCTCAAAAAAAAAAGAAGCTGGCTCAATATAGCTGTCCTCTGATAAGCCCTATGGCTCTCTATCCCTTCGAACACTCCTCCTTCCATTTCAGGCCCCAAGGCCTGTTCTGCAACTAATCTGACATCTTTCCATACTTTGGAAGCCTCGGGCTCCACCACACCCTATCCCCACCAGATTTCTACCCTCCTACCACCAAACGTGCATGAGTTGACATACCAAACCAACTCTTAGGGCCAAACTAATCCTGTTCCCCTCAGTTCTCAGAAACTCAAGCGTCCTAACGAATCTTAAAATTCTGATGAATCCATTCCTTTCCCTTGGAACGTCTGGCCCTCGGGTTGACTCCTCGGCTTCCATGGTCACAACTAGCTGTGGTTCTCCTGGCCCCTTCCTATCCCTCTCTTCGGGGCCTCTGCCAGAGTTCACACTGAACCTGTTTCCTCATCTGTAGGACCCTTGGAGGTTGGGAGGAGGCCTATATGACCGCTCCCGCCAAGCCAACTCCGGATCTAACATTGAAGGGACCCAGCATTCCCCTAGACCCCCACTCTTTCTCTTGCCCACGCCCCAAACTCCTTCTCCACCCAGGCTCCGCTACCACCTCGCCCACTCGCCTAGCATCACCCGCCGCGGCCCAAGCTCCCCTAGCCCCTGCTTCCGGGCTTTCCCTGCAGTTCTGCTTCCGGCCCTCGGCCCTTCCCACAGCGGGGCGCCCCTGCCCTCGCCCGGCCCCTCGAGCCGCTCGCTCGCGGGCTCTCACCTTTCGAAGAGCAGCCTCACGAAGAAGATGCCCGCCGCCAGCGGGAACACCGAGAGGATGTGCCGGCCGCGCGGGTAGCCGTAGCCGTAGCCGTCGGCCGGCCCCTCCAGATCAGCCCAGGTCACGTTCTGGGGTAGCCAGAAGCGCTCGCTCCACAGCCAGCCCCACAGCAAGCTTAGGGGTCCCTGCGCTGCTGTCGCCATCTTACGCCCACCCCGAGCCACCGCCGCCACAAGCGTCAGCTGCCGCCACAGCCAACGGAACCCGTGGGGAGGCGGCCCCAGGGCGGGGCCCGGCCAGCGGCCACCCTCTTCCGGCCCCTTCTGAACACCGCCACGGATCCGCCCGCCTCCCTGGCAGAGCCGGGCCTCTTCACCGCCCATCTCTCCTCCCGACCCACTTCCCTCACCGCAACCCGGGAACCGCCTCCGGAGATCCACGCCCCTTCCCGAGCCTCTGACTCGCCCAGCCGGGTCCTGGGGCCACGCCCCGGGCGGTGCTGGGCCCACCCTCTTTTGCTGCTGGTCTTGGCCGCGCTTCTGCTCCTCACTCACTCCTCCATCCAGCCACGGCCACACCCCTTATTTCAGGCCTAGCTCCTTTACGGGGACATTCTCCTTTCTCAGCCTGTCAGAATCAAGTACGTTCCCGCTCCCACCCAGGCGGTATCTCTGTCTCCACTCCCGGAGGCCAGATCGATCTCTCAGGTCATGGCTTCCCTTGGATCTCTGCTGGTCCTGCCCACTACTGTCTGCCACCAGAGTTCTTTTTGCTCCCAACCTTTTCTTCCCTTCGTGCCCCATGACCTCAGCCTACTTTCACTGCTTTATCCCTTAAAAATTAGTCACTTTGGGCCGGGCGCGGTGGCTCAAGCCTGTAATCCCAGCACTTTGGGAGGCCGAGACGGGCGGATCACGAGGTCAGGAGATCAAGACCATCCTGG